CCCCCTGCAACCACCAGTGCCTCATGCCCAGGGGATTCTACAAGATGCCCCAGAGTGGAGTCTGGAGGAGGCTTGTCCCCACCCCAAACTGGCCGTAATCTTGAAATGTGGACATTCAGGTCCGTTGGGTTTTGCTCTCATTGCCGTTGTCAGAGCTACTGTGGCCATGGGTTTCTGCAGCACGTGCAGGAGGAGACCCTCCAAACCGTGCCAAACCAATTCAGCAGTGGGATGGGTAAGCACCCAGCGCAGGTTGGCACTGTGGAGGGCTGGCTGAGAAGAAAGGTGGTAATAGGGATGTGCACAGAGGAAAACACCAAAATCGGAGAGTTTCCTGACTTGGAAATCTGAACCGCCTTTGGAAGACTTTCCATTTGCTTTCTAAACTCTCAGGCCTGAATGTCATATCATTTGCCCAGCCATAAATAGCTGTGAATTAAACAAGCTGTGCCGCTTTTTTGGCTAATAGATACATCCGCTAGTGCTGCAGCATTATCTTCATATCCCACTGGTGTTTGCATTGTAGATCAGGAGCTCAAGCTGACTTTTTTTTGTTTCTCTTTTTCAAGATTTAAAGAGCTGGCAGAACATTTATTCAGTTGTGCAACCGCCATTCAGAGTATTTCTCGGATCCTGGACATGGGGCTCATTTTTTGTCCTTTGACAGCCGCTGTAAATCAATAAGGCAGTTGGAGGTCACTTGTAGTCAATCAGTAACCAGTGCCGGCAAAGGGGAAAACGCTAAATATTTGGTATAAAAACATGGGTCCTAACTTGAAGTTCTCGCTCAGGGTGACATTTTCTCAGCCATGCCTTCGGAAACCTGGCTCCATCCAGCCTCGGTGTAGATACCCAGCCTGGCCATGATCTTTGCCCGGTAATTATCGACACAGAGAATTTCACAGCTGCAGGAATTACAGCAACCTGGGGCACAAGGTGCTTCGGGTGGAGGAAGTGGGTCTTGTGGTGCAAGGTGCTAATTTGGTGCCAGCTGAATTACTCCTCCTTTTTGCAGGAAGCCATTAGGTGTTGGCTGAAGCCATGCATGACCTTCATCACAGCCACCTCCCTCAGGAACCAAGACCCGTGGCCAGGCGGTAATTCTCGCAGGGGTCCCTAATTCCCTTTGAAACAACTGGGAACTAACCTCTTAAATACCTTTGCCATCTGAATCATATTCCAATGGCGTCATCATCTCTGTTTGCTCCTAGTTCTGGAGCTGGTTGCCCATAAAAACTTCTGCCTGACATCATCTCAAGCCCCTGCAATGAGAACACACTCAATTTCCTCTCTCCTCTGACCTCGGTTGCTCTGGGCATTGTGATGATGCAGGATCCTGTCTCTGAGTAATCATCCAGCCATCTCTCCCTGCTAACACAGGGGCCATCGTGCCCTGCGCTGCCAGCTGTACAATGCATCAGGCCCTATAGCTAATCTGGACGTGCTCTAACAGTCCCCATACAGGAGCTGCATGCCATCACTTTTTTGCTGCTATTTTGTCCCCCTGCTAATAGAGCTGGGCTGCACGGACTGTTTGCACAATAAGCTGTGGCTCATTTTTGGATCCATATGCTGGATGGTTTCCATTGAGCTCTAGCTGCAGGGTTTGCAGATCCATGTGTTGCACTTTTCATCTTCACTCCAGACTGGGAGGCGAGCACGCCGTGCTGGTGGGCTGTGCGCTGTCCTCCTGCCTCCCCAGAAGTGTCCGTCAGATCCGTCCCTGAGCCCTGGGGAGCTCCTGCAGGTCTCAGACCCAGCTAATGTGGGTCTGCTCCCTTGCTGCTTCCCAGAGCGGTGTCTGCAGGGGATGCTGCTTCTCTGGTGTCTGCACGTGGAGGAGAGCTTTGACAGCGGCCGTTGGCCAGGGCCGCGTGGCTTTGGAGGTGGCATCCTTCCTCCAGCTCTTCCCTGGAGCCTCAGACAGGTGCTCGTGTCCTAGCCCAATACCGTGCAAGGAGAGGAATCAAGCAGGCTTCTCCCTTTCTCTTTCTCCTTTCATACGTTTTATACAAACTTTAAATACTGGCATTTCCTTCCAGCTTTCTGACAACCTTGAAAGATGCACCCCAGAGAGCAGGATGGAAAACTGAGTGTATGAGCAACACAAAAGGGATTTTCTCATCAGGAGCCGCATGCAAGTACCTATTAGCCTTGCAAAGGCTTTAATGACATCCTTTAGTGCCTGGCCCTGTGCGTAGGCTTTCCTCAGGCTGGCTAGCTGGTCAGACTTGAATTTTAGGCTTCTTAAGGGTTTAATAAGAGGCTGAACTAAAATACTAGCTTTGAGTGGAGAGCTAAATTCTTCAAGGTCAGAAGGTGGAGAGGCTCGGGGTTAGGGTCAGTCCCGTGCCACAGGGAGGTGCGGTGCTCCCAGCACGGCCAGGGATGGTTTTTCCGCTGGCGAGCCCACGAGGGGATGCCCGTGGCACTGCTCCTTCTGCCTCGGGGCAGCCGTGGTGTTCCTGCGCAGTGGAGCACAGCCCTGGGCTGGTCATGTCTGATATTTTTCTTCTCTGGGTGACCTGTCACTGTGGGTCTGCTTGCTGGCACCGAGCTTGTCCCGGCCAATGCGCCTGCATGGCACCACAGGAGCTGAATCGATCAGCCTGATCCATAGCAGAGCAGGGACCACATCCCCATGCAGGGCCAGTGTGGGATGGCAGCTGGGTTTGACGCTCACCCGAACGTCCTACACACACCACAGAGCCGTCCCGCAGACACCGCGGGGCTTGGAAGCAGCCCGGCTCCGTAGGTTTGGGCAGGAGCTACACGAGCGTGGCTGTACCATGTCTGGGAGTTGGGCTGGCCTGTTCAGTGTCCCCTCACACTGCACCGTGTTGGAAAACTGACCCAAAATGTCCCCCGGGATCCCCTGTGCAAGCAAGCCCTCGCACACCAGGACTGCGTGCCCAAAGGGGGCTGGAAGCCACGTTACGCCTTGCACAACCCTGGGTCTCAGCGCAGCAGATCACTTGCACGCTCACTTCACTTCAAGTGCAGGCTTCATTCCCAGGGGTTTCACGGGGAGTAAAAGCTAAGACTGCATTTAGGCCCCAGGCTTAAGCACTGTAATGTGCTAGCTGGAGAAGCAATGAATCGTGTGCTTTTTGCTCTCAGCTACGTTTTGCATCCCAGCTCTTCTGGAACAACCGGGCACATGTCTCCCGAGTCACTCCAACACTCCCACACTTGCAAAATCCTTTAGCTTTTGAAAAAAAAGAGCCATATAAAGCCAGTCTTTATTAAACCATCATCCTCCGATGCCTCTGTGTTAGAAAGTATGGCAAGAACAAGACACTTCCTACGGCTTGCTTGAAAAATGACAGATGAGCCATCGAAACAGTGGCACTTGCCACAACCAGGGATGATCCAGCAGAGGTGCTAACTGCTTCGGAGGGCAGCAGGGCTGGCAGTTCCCGGCTCTACAAAATGGTCTTTACAAGAACATACAGAAACATTATGGACCTTTAATTGGAGTTTATCTAATGTACACTTCAGAAAGGTGCAACAAAAAAACCAAGCAGGCATTTTCCTGGTCAGCAGGTCTGATCCAGGCTCCTCTCCCTCCCACTCAGCTTCTTCTGAAATTATATAAATAACTGGAGATTTAGATCCGTTCCTGTTGCCGGAGCATTTTGGACATAACCCAAGCCCAGACCACTGGGAGAGGAGCCCACTTCTCCATCATGCTGTGGTCTCTGCCCACGGCTCGGCTTCTGGTTCAGGACATGGGAAGCCTTCACGGGAACCAGAGCTGGCCCCACGTTCAGGGTTGTTACCCTCACTGTTAGTTTTCCTCCCCGCAACTGCAAACTACCCACCGTGCACAGGCTTTGCGGGGGTTTAGAGGCTTGCACATCATGCTGAAGCCCAGCATCTGCCTATTTAAACTCCTTCCCCCAGCCTTATCATACGCAGACCCAACGCACGTCTGCAAAAGCAGATGCATGCCCGCCGCCAGACATGAGCCACTCTCCTGCTGCCCGCCCTGCAGCAAGCCCGTTAGATGGCACCACGGAGTAGCGCTCCCTGTACCTTCCTTCCTCGCGCCCAAACGTGTCTTGACACCAGTCCAGCCTTGAACTGGCCTTTTGTGCAAGGCAGCAAGCTCTGGGCACCGCCGTAGCAGCTCGCTGAACCCTCCGAACAAAGAGCAATGATAAGGCTCGCCACACCACGCTCGCCCCTCTTCCCAGCAATGACAGTCCTCAGCGGAGGCAGGATTTTTCCAGGATCAGCCTTTTCTTTATTTAAGGATTTTTGCATAGGCAAATGTTACATTTTTGGACACACAAATGTTAAAATGATCAATCCTATGTGTATGCACGCGCTTATACCCACAGCCCGCGCTGTCTTTCTTAGGGTCTTTATTCATACGCGTGTATACAGTGGCCTGGCAGAAAATGTTTTCCGTGGTTTGAAAGAATGCTCTAAAAGGGTCAAATTGAGAAACGCCTTTAAAGAGTGTCCACTCTGTGTGTCTGTGTCTGTGCATTTTGGTTTCAGCAGCTTTGTGTCTGTGTCATATAATCTGTAGACTGTGTATTGCACTTTTCTATTTTGAATTCTGTTCTGACTCCTCTTACTTTACTCTCTCACCTATAAAAACAGGATTTCTAATGAAAATAAGCAATAAATTGCTGTATATGCTCAGATGTAAAGGATTTTCAAAAGCAAGACAGCTGGCAGCACACCGCTGTCCTTCTGCCTTGGATTTTTTGCAATAGACAATATATTGATTAAAACAGAAATAGGAAAGTGCAATAGAATGAGGGTGTTTGCTGACCTTGTTCGATGACAGAAAAGTCATTTCGGGGTGAGACTGTGCCTTGAGCTTTTGCAGGGACCTGTTGTCCTGGGCATAGGATCAAGGGAGTTTTTTTCTCAAGTAAGGATTGCAAGTAGGTAGTAGTTGCCATTTAAAAATGAGGTACAATCCTAAGAAAACTGCTAGGAAAATTTCAATCAAAAGAAGAAAATTCATAAGGCATAGATTGGTTCAATGTGCACAATTGTAAATATAGACAATAATTTACAGGCTTTTCTCTTGAAATATTAATGCTGCTATGAGGAGACAAGAGTGTGACTTACTTATAATGACTTACCATAACATTTCCATACTGTAAATGAGACAGATTAAGTTGACATTATATATTACTTAGCTATGTACCAATTAGCTAAACAAATGCTATGAATTCCGTCATTTATGATGGAAGCTACATAAAAATTGTATAATTACTGCAGTGAGTCATCTAGTTAAATGGCACTCCTATATGGACGAATTGATTTCAGTGCAAGATTAATAGCCTTTTGCTGCTGTTTTACGTGCTTGCCAAAGACCATACTACATTGTTGCTAAGCATCATTAATGGATTAAAATAAGGGTTCTGCATAATTCCTACGGTGTATCTTCAAACAGCTTGTTTAGTTTGTGCACTAGCCTAGCGCTTGTTAGCCCTACATAACACACGGGTCTGGAAGGCTGACACGTGTGAAGGAGGTTAATGCAATCCTAAGAACTCTTTCAAAAGCTCACAGGTTTTCTTGTGGATGACTTCGCGGAGTTTCCGCACGCGCCGGATGCTGGAGGTGCCCACAAAGCTGTCTGGCTGTAGGACAGCCATGCCGTTGTGGACATCTCCCATGATGATGAGCTGGCCATCCACTGTGGTCATGTTGGGACATGGGCAGCTCCAGTCCATATTCAAAAGCGTGATTTCTAGTGGTTCCTTCCCCAGGAATTTTAATCCCATTTTTTCATCTTTGAGAATCTCCTCCACTGTCACCAGGGCATGTCCTGAGTCTTGGTCTTCGGTCAGCTCTGTTATACGGCCCAGGATAACAAAGTCGCTTTTGCAGAAGCTTGTCACCAGCTTCTGGCGCGGTTTGCAAGCTTTGCAGTGCGTGTTCTTCGGGAAAGGGCACATCTCTTCACAGGCCTCCCGGCTCTCAAAGTTGTTCTCGTTGCCTCCACACCCGCCGTAAATGAAGGACTGGCACTGCTTTGTCAAGCTGTTATAGGCCCATCTGGGCTCGTAGGCCTTGCAGTGACCTTGGAGGGCTGGCAGATTGCAAATGTTGATTGGGCCGTTCATGCACGTTAACATACAGTTCTCATAGGTCTCAAAGTGGTTGAGGTTGCTGTTACAGTTCCCATAGATGAAGGTAAAGCAGTTGTTTTTCTTTGCATCGTAGTACCACCTGGTCTGCTCTTCCCCACAGTCTTCGCTGTCTGGTTGCTTCAGGCACTCATCGGTCGGAAAGTGTGTCTTGTTTTGGGAAGCTTCTTTGGATGTGGGTTCTCCTTTGATGACTGACAAAGGGAAATCAGCCCTGAGAAGGCCACCGCTGTTTTTGGCGGTGCAGGTATAGATGCCTGCATCTTGGAGCTGGGTGTTGTAGATGACCAGTTGGGCGATGTTGGTGACCACGACGTTCCCTCTGACGTGATTTGGCTTCATAATGACTTTGTCTTTCCCATCGACCTGCTTTTCCCACGTGATTTCTGGCTTGGGTCTCCCTGTAACATCACAGAGGAAGCTGACGGTCTCTCCCACGTAGACGGACTGATGGATGGGGTTGTTCACTAGAGCAGGCGGCAAGATATCAATGACCGTTGTCTCGGAATAGGCAGTAGTAGGGCGAGCTGTTGTTTCTGGTGGGATAGGGCTGGTGTTCGGCCAGGTAAGATGGTACCTACAGGTGACTACATTCAGTGTAATGCCTTTGATGCAAGCTTCTGCATCCATGTAGCACTTGTTGTAGTAGGTGAGCCCGTCGGAGGCACAGGTGAAGCTCGGCTCCTTCTCACACCTGTCCTTGCACTTGCAAACGGGTTGCCCATCCCAGATGTCGCACTCTGAGCCTTGCTGGATGCACATGAAACGGTCGCAGGTTGCCTCTTTGGGCATTCCCACCGGCCCTTTTTTCCCCTTGACGTCCATGTACCGAGCTGCCACGCAACTCTTTGTTCCACAGACATTGGGGCAGCACTTCTCAAAGGTCTCGCATTCCTACCTGATCATTGCTGGGGACAGAGTAAAGTCCTTTTTAGAGACCCAGCAAGCAGAGAGCCCAGATACTTTCAAGGTGTTAGCTCAGGGGACCCATGTTGGCCACAGATGTCTGTGGTCCAAAACTCAGTGTCCCCACTGGAAACGAGTGGAAACATCCCTCCAGAATCTCCTGAGAGGTGTACAAACACACTGGGATTTCTGAATTGCTTCAGGAGAAGACTCTAGAGAAGGAAAATGTGTTTCTGTTTCTTAAACACTAACCTCATCATAAATCTTTCCTAGAGTCACATGGACTTTTTGACTACCGAACCAACAACCCCCCCCCTTCCGCACTCTCCGAAATGCCTGAGGACAAGCCCTGAGAAACAAGAGCGGATGGAAGGTCTTATCATATGGCTGTAGGCAGTAATCCTTCTTATTTTCCACAGAAGTATGTAAAGTATTATTTGAATTCCCTGAGACTAACAGCCTACTCTTGGAGGTGAAACTGCCAAGGATTTGTAATTGTTCACATTGTAGAGGAAATAATAGAATATCTCAAAAGTAAGGAAATTCTTGCTCCAAAAATAATTTTTCTATGGTATTTAGAAAAACAAACCCAAAACAGCTCATTATGGCTTCTCTGTCCTATTTTAGTCCTATTTGCAAATGCAGCATCGCTCTTCTAGTGATTTATTACACCCCATCTCAGCTACAGTTAGCTCTAAATTGTGGTTAATTTCAGCAGAATTTTCATCTTCTGTTGCAGAAAAGGTATTTGATATGTGTGATCACAGCTGCTGTGTTGTTATGGATTACTTTAAGGGACCACGAATGCTGCTGCCATGTACATGACAGGGCACACTTCCACCGTGTGTTAAACCTCTACAACCCCCCTGAAATCCAACGGCTTTCTCCGTAAGTGAGAACAAAATGGGTTTTAAGCTACCAAACTAAATAGCTTCCCCTGAGTCCAGTATCCTTTCCTTATTGGGAAAAAGATGACCTAATAACATAACTCTTTC